AGTCTCCCTCTGGCACCCAGGCTGGAGTGCAGTGGTGTGATCTCGGCTCACTGCAACCTCCACCCAGAATTGCTGGGCTGAAGCAATTCTCATGCCTCAGCACTCCCAAGTAACTGGGTCTACAGGTGCCCGCCACCATGCCTGGCTAATTTTTTTATAATAGAGAAAGGGTTTCACCATGTGGGCCAGGCTGGTCTCAAACTCCTGGCCTCAAGTGATCTGCTGGCCTCAGCCTCCCAAAGTGCTGGGATTATGGGCATGAACCACCATGACAGGTCTAAAATGCATGCTTTGGACTAAAAAGGAGATCAGTTCCCAACTCTGCCACTCACTAGCTGGGTGGACCTTCCAGATCAGGTATCCAGGTTGGGCACAGTGGCTTTCACCTGTAATCCCAGCACTTTGGGAGGCCAAGGTAGGCGGATCATTTGAGGTTAGGAGTTGGAGACCAGCCTGATCAACACTGGTAAAACCCCATCTCTACTAAAAAACAAAAAAATTACTCAGGTGTGGTGGCTCACACCTGTAATCCCAGCTACTCAGGAGGCTGAGGCAGGAGAATCGCTTGAACCGGGAAGGTGGAGGTTGCAGTGAGCTGAGATTGCATCACTGCACTCCAGCCTAGGCAACAGAGTGAGACTCCAACTCAAAAATAAATAAATAAATAAATTCAGGTATCCGCTCTGAGCTTGATTCCCTTATCTGTAAAAATCCCTACATCCCGGCTGGGCATGGTGGCTAACACCTGTAACCTCAGCACTTTGGGAAGCTTAGGAGGGCGGATCACCTGATGTCAGGAGTTCGAGATCAGTCTGGCCAACATGGTGAAACCCCATCTCTACTAAAAACAAAAAAAAATGCCAGGCACGGTGGTGGTTGCCTGTAATCCCAGCTACTCGGGAGGCTGAGGCAGGAGAATTGCTTGAACCCAGGAGATGGAGGTTGCAGTGAGCCAATACAGTTCCCCTGCACTCCAGCCTGGGTCACAGAGTGAGACTCTATCTCAAAAAAAAAAAAAAAAAAAAAATCCCTACGTCCCTTGCAATTTTCTTAGGAATAATATTCATAATGGAGTAACAGAAAATAAAACCATTTCAATTATGAGAATCATGATTAGCACAGTAACACATAGAGCAATGTTCCTTAAACATTTTGGTTTCAGGACCCTTTTATACATTTTTTTTTTTTGAGACAGTCTTGCTCTATCACCCAGGCTAGGGTGCAATGACGCAATCTCAGATCTCAGCTCACTGCAACCCCCACCTCTCAGGTTCAAGCAATTTTTCTGCCTCAGCCTCCCAAGTAGCTGAGACTACAGGTGTGTGCTACCACGCCTAGCTAATTGTTTTACATTTTTAGTAGAGATGGAGTTTTACCATGTTAGCCAGGTTGGTCTCGATCTCCTGACCTCGTGATTCACCTGCCTAGGCCTCCCAAAGTGCTGGGATTACAGGCATGAGACACCGCACCCAGCCCTTTTAGACATTCTTAATCCCAAAACTTTGGGAGGCTGAGGTGGGAGAATCACTTGAGCCCAGGAGTTCAAGACCAGCCTGGGCAACACTGTAAGACCCTGTCTGTCTGTCTCTCCCTCTCCCCCACCATATATATATATATATATAAAACATATCTATAAAAAATATATATTTTATATATCCACTAAATATATATATAAAGAGGCCCTCAAAGACTTTTTAGCTTATGTAAATTATATCTATTGATGTTTATCCTATTAGAAGTTAAAACTATGCAATTTTTGAAACATTTATTCATTTAAAACGTCTATTACATCTTAACATTGTTTTATGAAAAAATATATCTTCCTCAAAAATAGTAAGAATGGTTTTTATTTTTACAAATCTTTTTCCGAGATGGAGCCTCGCACTGTTGCCCAGACTGGAGTGCAGTGGCGTGATCTTGGCTCATTGCAATCTCCACCTCCCAGGTTCAAGTGATTCTCCTGCCTCAGCCTCCCAAGTAGCAGGGATTACAGGCACCTGCCACCACGCCAAGCTAATTTTTTGTATTTTTAGTAGAGAGGGGGTTTCACTATGTTGGCCAGGCTGGTCTCAAACGCTGGACCTCGTGATCTACCCACCTCAGGCTCCGAAAGTGCTAGGATTACAGGTGTCAGCCACCATGCCCAGCCTAGGAATCTTTTTAATGTCTCGATGAATAAAAGACAGTTGGATTGTCATATATACTCTGCATTCTCTCTTGTGCAACCTGTTCTTTTTGACTGTGATCCATGAAGATAACACAGCATGACTCAGGTATTGCCACCACCACCCAGATTCGTGCTAAGGTGTCAGCAGTTGTGCCCACAATTGCTTTCGTACGATTAGTGCAAAAGTTAACCAAGTGAAAAAGCCTAATAGGCTTAGTCACATTATGGCATTTACCTTACAGAATCTGAAATCTCAGGGAACCCCGAGAGGTCCACGAACTACAGTTTGAGAACCACTTTGCTAAAGGAGGACTGGTGTTAAGAAGGGAAAGGTTGCTTTTAAGCAGGTCTGAGGAAGGCCTCTCTGAAGACACTGAAGCACCTGGAGCCACAGACTAGTAAAAGGTGTTTCTCAGTCTAGGAAATGGCAAGTGCCCCCAGACAAAAACTAACGTGGCATGAAGGAACTCAAAAGACTGCATGCCAGAGGAAGGAAAGAGAAATGAGAGCCAGGCAAGGCCTTAGCCACAGGATCCTGTGGGATGTGGGTTTCTGTTCCAGGGATGAGGAAGCCACTGCAGAGTTTTAATCAGGGTGTGGGTGTGGCCATCTGATTTACATTCAACAAGATCATCCACGCTGACAGCAGGGCAGTGAGAGGCTCCTGCAGCCTCCGGCCGGCCGGGACAGAGGCTACCGCTGCAGATGGAAAGAGGTGGGGACCACAGTTAATAACACCTTCCCGAGGTAGAAGCTGCAAGACTAAATTAGGAAGTGTGCCGGGAGATAAGAGAAATGGAGTAGTAATTCCTGAGGCTTGAGGGGAAACACCAGGTGGACAGGGAGACCATGGGTGAGACGGGGATACTGGAGGAATGGGTGCCCCGCCTGTACCAGCGGAAATTTTACATGCTTTCTCTATGCTAAGCCTTCTTCCAACTAAGACACTGCACCTTACAATATTTTTGGCAGAAGGCATATTAACAAAACAAAAATATTAAACATCTAACAAATTAAGATCAAGGCCAGAACAGTGGGATGGGCAACAAAGGCTTCCTTCCAGACAGCATCAACCATTCACAAAAATTCTGAGCACTGCTGTCACCCAACTAGAAATCTGCATACCTGGGTCACGGTGCAGCCAACCTCTCTCCAGCAGCCAGAGGCCCATGAGGTGTGTGAGCGCTCATTCAAACACCTGTCGGCCACGTCCACGTTTCCCTCGCGTGCGTGTGAGTGACCCCTACCGAGTGCAATCACGACAAGAATGCCTGCTTCGGTGTGGCCTATGAGTGCGTTTACGTCCATTCCTACCCATTACCTCTTTCTTCCTAAACGCAGAATTCACAGAATCCTTCGTCGTTTCCAGGCCCAACCTTTTTCCGGGGCACTTGTGTTCTTTGGTCACAAACTCTTTCATGAGCCTCAGTTTACTCATCCCCAAGAAAAGGGGAACACCTGAGTCACCAAGCTAAGCAGTTAAATAAAAATCAGTGGAAGTCAAGGCACAATCCACCGACTCCCCCTGAGAGCCCCTTCAGAACCCTTTCCAAACGCGGGGCGCCGCTCCAGCTGGCCGGGTGACCGGGACCAGGGACCAGGCCTGCGGGGGAACCACAGCGCCCACGGGAAAAGGCGCGGCGCCCCCCGACCGCACTGCCCTCGACCTGGGACCCGCAGCACCGGCGAGGGCGCCCCGTTCTCCCGCGCGGGGGAGTCCACTCCTCAGGCCCCGGGCTGCGGCGGAAAGCAGGCCCATCCCCGTGCCTGCGGGACGGCCACGGCCTAGGGGTGCCCGCTGCTGTCGCTTTGCCTGCCTTTAAATTCTGGGCCTTTCTCCTTCCTTGGAAAACAAAATCCGAGTTATTTCATGAGTTTAGCAAGGTACCACGGAGCATAAATCAGCGCGGAAAACACTTCCTAACGCCTACTGTGTACACGATCTAGCGCTCCCCGCACAACACTGACGCCTACTGTGTGCACGACCCGCGTTGCTCTGCAGAGGCTCAGGGTTCAAGTTCCCGGATCACAATGGCGCCTACTGTGTGCACGACCTACGGCGCTCTGCAGAGGCTCAGGGTTCAAGCTCCCGGATCACAATGGCGCCTACTGTGTGCACGACCTACAGCGCTCTGCAGAGGCTCAGGGTTCAAGCTCCCGGATCACAATGGCGCCTACTGTGTGCACGACCTACAGCGCTCCGCAGGTAACACTGGAGCCTACTGTGCGCACGACCCTGCGCCTCCCAGACCACAATGGCGCCTACTGTGTGCACGACCCCGAACTCCACGGCCTCCCTGTGGGCCCAGCCGGGGTGTCCCCGGGTCAGCGGGCGCCGCGCAGGGCCGGGCGGGGGCGCCGTCCGGGAGGAGCGCGGGGCGCGGAGGGCGCGGCGTCCGCAGGCCCGGGCTCCGGCCAGGCCGCCTCCCCGGCGCCGGCCCCGCGGCCCTCCTGCCCCTAGACGGGACGCGGGGCGGCCACTTTCCCTCAAGTTTACCGCGGGCGGGCCGGCGGGGGCAGGGCGCGCGGAGGAGGCGGCCGCCCGCGCCCTCGCCCGCCTCCCGCCTCCCGCCTCCCGCCTCCCGCCTCAGCCGCCGCCCGGCCCAGGAAAGTAGGCCCAGCGCGCGGAGGGGCCGGGCGGCGACTCGCCCGTATCATTCCGCCCGCGCTGCGGCCCGCCCGGCCAGTCGGCGGCGGCGGCGGCCCGGGTCTGCGCGGCCCCCGCCCCCGCCCCGCCGCTCCCGGCGCCCCCCGCGCCGCATCCGGGGACTGGCAGGGCGCGGGCCCCGCACCGGCCGCCGGCGGGGCGCGAGGGCGCGGCCGCGGGCCTTACCGGAGTCGCCGCGCGCCTTGCTCTCCCTGGGCTTCGGGGGGCGGCCCCGCGGCATCGTCGGCGGCCCGGCTCGCACCCACACCCACTCACACTCACTCACACTCACACTCACACGCGGTGGCGGGGGCGCGCACGCGCGGGCACTGGGGCGGGGGCGCGCCCGGCCGGCGGCGGAGGCGGGCGGAGCGGCCCGGCGGCGGGCGGCCCGGTCCGAGCGCCGCCGGGCTCACGGGGGTAAGGCGCCCGAACGCGCGCACCGGAGCGCTCGAACCGCGCCGGCCTCGGCGGGTTCCATGGCCCGCGGGCCGTGGTGGGGGCGTTAGGCGCGGGCGCGGTGGGGGCGGGGGCGGCGCGGGGCGCATGCGCGACGCCGCGGGGCCTTCGCGGACGGAGGGGAGCGCGGGGGTCACCGGGCCGGGCCGCGGGCCCAGCAGGGGCGCCGCCGTGGCCTGGGTGCCTCGTGCGTGTCCGCGAGCTCGCGTGCGCGCGTCACCTCGGGCCCCAGCAGGGCCTGGAGCGCGGCCCTGCCCGCGCCGCCCTAGCGCTGCGAAGGCCTGGGAGCCCAACCCGGAACCGCCACCTGGGACTGGGAGCACGACCTGGCCAGCACTCGGTAACGTTCCTTTTCCTGGGGGCAGGGCATTAAAATGGACCGTTTCACGTGTGTCGCTCTTGTGTGGTGTTTCCTGCGCTAACTTGCACGAAATGGTAACAGTCACAGGCAGCGCAGCCGCCGAGCGCGGGGTGGCCAGGCCGGCCGCGCCCGGGAAAGCGACCCGACTGTCACTTGAGCTGCGGCGCAGTGTCGCAAATTAAAGTGTGCAGTTTGATACATTTTGATACGTGTCTACACTGCGAAACCATCACCGAAACCAACAGTGAACATGTTCCTCCGTCTCTCTGTAACCGTTTCCTCTCTCCCTCCTTCCCCCCTCCCCCTGCCACCCACCTGCCTTTGGTCACTATAGTTTGAATTTACGAGAGTTTTTAAATATTTATCTTTTTACACAAAGTGGGTCTCGCTTAGTCCGTCTTCCAGGGTGGGGAGCAGTGACACGATCAGGGTTCACTGTAGCCTCAAACTCCTGGGCTTAAGCAGTCCTCCTGCCTCAGCCTCCTGAATAGCTGGGACTGCATGAGCACCAACATGCCTAGCTTATTTTTTTGTGTACAGACGAGGTCTCTCTGTGTTGCCCAGGCTGCTCTGGAGCTCCTGGCTTCAAGTGATCCTCTGCCTCAGCTTCCCAAAGTGTTGGGGTTACAGGTGTGAGCCAGTGTGTCCAGCCTTTTACCTGCTGTTTTGTATAAATGGAATCATAAAGCATGGAGTCTTTGGGGAAGTGGAGGCTGTTCATTGAGCACAATTCTGTTGGAATTCACATGTTTTTAAATACTTCAGTCCTTTTTCTTGCGCGGTGTCTAGGAGTCACTGTTGCTTACCCTTTCCCCCCGCCCCCCCCAGCCCTCACTCAATCTCATCAAAGATCTGTCTCCAATACAGAAACCAAATCCAAGCCATTCCCACATGTATTTCCCCCTGAGCCATGCTCTCTCACCTGGATAACAGATACAGCCTAGTGCCTGCTCATCCTCGCATCAGTTTTGTGTATAGCTATGCGAGTCTTCTCTCTGTGCCTTAAATATGACAAATGTATCCCAGCTCTTTTGAATATTTCCAATTATGAAATGTTCCTCCTTATTTCTCATAACGCTTGATATTGTCAACTTTGCCTCATATGTGAATAACACCACCAGCCTTCTTACTTGTGTGTGCCTTTAAGTTGAGTTTAAGAAGTATGTGTGGATAATGTTTGTTTGTTTGTTTGTTTGTTTGTTTTTGAGACAGGGTCGGGCTCTGTTGCCCAGGCTGGAGTGTCTGGGCAACACATGACACTGTCTCTGCTCACTGCACTCTCCCCTCCCGGGCTCAAGTGATCCTCCCACCTCAGCACCCCAAATAGCTGGGACTGTAGGGGCTCACCACTAGGCCCAGCTAGTTTTTTGTAGAGATGGGGTTTCACCATTTTGCCCAGGCTGTTTTCGGTCTCCTGAACTCAAGCATTCCACCCACCTGGCTTCCCAAAATGCTGAGATTATAGGCATGAATACCCGGCCAAGTATTTCTTTTAATCCAATTTGATAATCTGTCTTGCATGAGAGCAGTCGCTCCCAAATTTCCTGCACTTTAGAATAATCTGGAAAGCTTTTAAAAGTCCCAGTGCCCTGTTCATACCTCACATCAATAAATCTGATGGGAATGGGAACCATGCATTGGTGTTTTATTACTGTTTTTTAAGGTCCACAGGTAATTTTCCAGTGTACAGCAAAATTTAAGCGCTAGATCATTTAGTACATTTGTACAAAGTAATTACTGATACATTTAAAGATGTCTTTTTATACTTTGCATTTGTCTCATGTTTCGTGTTCTTTTATATGCTTTTCTTGCTTTTGAATTACTGATGTTTAAAAATTAGTAATTTTTAAATTACTGATAATTTGAGGCTGGGCGAGGTGGCTGACACCCGTAATCACAGCACTTTGGGAGGCGGAGGGGGGAGGGTCACTTGAGCTTAGGAGTTCTAGACAAGCCTGGGCAATATAGTAAAACTCCATCTCTACCAAAAATACAAAGCATTAGCCAGGCATGGTATCGTGTGTCTGTGGTCCCAGCTACTCAGTAGGCTGAGGTGGGAGGATCCCTTGAGTCTGGGAGGTTACGGTGAGCTGAGATTGCATCACTGAACTCTAGCCTGGATGACAGAGTGAGACTCTGTCTCAAAAAAAAAAAAATTATATATATTTATATATATAAATGCTTTATATATTATATTTATGTATATACATTACATTTATATTTACATATATAAAGCTATATGTATTATATATAGCTGATTTATATAGATATAAATAGCCTTTAGTGGTACACTTGAGATTACAACATGTATTCTTGACTGACTGATGTCTAATGTAAATTAGCACTTTTTCCTCTTCCCAGACAATGCGAACAGATTATTAGGTAGTTATTTCTGTATTTAAAACTCCACAAGGCACATTACTGTTGATGTTCATTTCAGTGGCCCACATATATGCCTCTTGCGTTTTATCCTCTGTGACTTTCTAGGATCATTTCCCCCCCACCTGCAGCACCCCCGCTGTTACATCCTTTAGAGGAGGTCTGCTGATCATCTCAGTTGTGTTTGTCTGAACATCTGTATTTAATTATTCTTAAAAAATACTCTAGGTTGTCAGCTAGTTTCTTTCAGCACAATAATGATGTAACTCCACTGTCATATGCATCCATGTTTACTGCTGTTTTTTGAAATAAATCTTTATTTTCCTGACTGCTTTTAATGTTTCTCTGTCTTCAATTTTCTGCAGTTTTACTATAGTTCATCTAGATGTATATATCTTTTTATTCATCTTTTTTGGGAATTGATTGAACTTAATGAATTTCTGGATTGTTGGGTGTCTTCAATTTTGGAAAGTTCTTGGCTATTATATATTCAAATAATGCTTCTGCCCAAATATCTCTCTTCTAACCTACCAGAGCTCTAATTCATCATATGTCTGAGGCCAGGCGTGGTGGCTCACACCTGTAATCCCAGCACTTTGGGAGGCTGAGGCGGGCGGATCACGAGGTCAGGAGTTCAAACCCAGCTTGGCCAGGATGGTGAAACCCTGTCTCTACTAAAAATACAAAAATTAGGCTGGGCGCGGTGGCTCACGCCTGTAATCCCAGTACTTTGGGAGGCCGAGGCAGGTGGATCACGAGGTCAAGAGATCGAGACCATCCTGGTCAACATGGTGAAACCCCGTCTCTACTAAAAATACAAAAAATTAGCTGGGCATGGTGGCGCATGCCTGTAATTCCAGCTACTCAGGAGGCTGAGGCAGGAGAATTGCCTGAACCCAGGACACGGAGGTTGCGGTGAGCCGAGATCGCGCCATTGCACTCCAGCCTGGGTAACAAGAGTGAAACTCCGTCTCAAAAAAAAAAGAAAAATACAAAAATTAGCCAGGCATGGTGGTGCATGCCTATAGTCCCAGCTACTTGGGAGCCTGAGGCAGGAGAATCACTTTATTCTGGGAGGTGGAAGTTGCAGTGAGCCGAGATCATGCCAGTGCACTCCAGCCTGAGTGACAGAGCAAGACTCCCTCTCAAAAAAAAAAAAAAAAAAGTTTGGACCATCTTATTATCTACCTTTTTAAAACTGTATTCTATATGTGTGTGTCTTTTTGTTCCTTTATCATTTCCTCTGGTCTGTTCTGACCTACCCTGCAGTTCATCACGTTGCTCTGTGGCTGTGTTAAAGCTGCCGCTGAACACACCCATTGAGTTCTTAGGTTCGGTTTTGGAGTTTTCAGTTCCTGAATTTTAGTTGACTCTGTTTCAAGTCGACAGTTTGTTTTGTTTTTTGAGCTAGGGTATTACCCTGTCACTCAGGCTGGAGTGCCATGGCGCCAACACGGCTGACTGCAGCCTCGACCTCCAAAGCTCAAGTGATCCTCCCGAGCAGCTGAGACTACCACCATATACCTAGCTAAATTTTATTTTTTTTTTTTTTTGGTATTTTTTGTAGAGCTGGGGTTTTGCCATGTTATCCAGGCTGGTCTTAAACTCCTGGGTTCAAGTGATCCATCCGCCTCAGCCTCCCAAAGTGCTGGTATTAAGGCATGAGCCATCATTCCCGGCCTAAAGTAATTTTTAAAAATATGTTCTACGCTGGGTGTAACGGTGGCTCACGCCTGTAATCCCAGCACTTCGGGAGGCCGAGGCAAGCGGATCATCAGGACGTCAGCCTGACCAGAAACCCTGTCTCTACTAAAAATACAAAAATTAGCCAGGCATGGTGGCGCATGCCTGTAATCCCAGCTACTTGGGAGGCTGAGGCAGGAGAATCACTTGAACCTGGGAGGTGGAGGTTGCAGTGAGCTGAGATCATGCCACTGCACTCCAGCCTGGGCCACAAAGCAAAACTCGGTTTCAATTAAAAAAAAAAAGTTTTAGCCTCATGAGCCTAATTATTATTCCTGATAATTCTGTATGGAGTGACCATGAATCTTTATTTATTTGTTTATTTTTGGCCTCTGATTTGTACTAGTTCTTGTTTGTCTAGATATTTGCAGGAATGACTTTGAAAACTACTTACAAAAATAATTGAATGTATACGATGA